CTCTCTCAGATGCTATAACCGATCTCAGTGAGGATCTGTGGATACCACCACAGGAGGTCGTGTCTAGTTATTTTTGACCCCTCAGTCTAAATAGAGGATGCGTGGGTTCTTCAGCTAACCAGATGCCAACTTTCTAAAACCATTCGGCTTTAATTCTTTAGCACCTCGATTTGGAAATTTCGATTTGTACAAAAAACACAAATAGGATACAAATACTGCTTAGAAAATACTCCCGGGTGCAATGGCGTTCGAGAAAGATTGGGTGTTTAAAATATCCACAAGCGCGACTTTTTATGGGCATTCGGACTATTTTTATACGGTTTCGAGATACAGAAATGAGATATTATGGTTCGAATGCTTCGCTGAAATGTTAAAGATAATTTAAAAGCCCGAGGATAATTGGCTGATTAGATAGTTCACCTGAGGAAACCAACGCCGGGGGAATCCTTAGATCACGAAGCTTAGAGGTAACGTATAAGGGTAAAAGATCTGAGTTTAATGAGATTGTCTCTGACACACTTTCACGGTTGTTTGAGCTGACGAGGCAGTGTTTCATACGCGGGTTTTCTTAACAGTTGTTTCTAAATATACCCAACAGTTTCTTGCTCGTGGTCTAGTGGGTAAGGCGTCAGCCCGGAGAGCTGATGGCGGGGATTCGATCCGCTATCACGTCATAACGAAAGGCGTTAAAGGTTCCGTGCCACTATGCTGTGTCGGATGTGTCTAAGCTAAACTGGCATCTCAGTTTCCGAAACAGCGTCTCGATCCACAATATAAATTTAATCTACGCCTGATACCAAGTGGTGTAAATATTAAGAGACTGTTTTTACAGTCAAACATTCTATTTAGAATTGGAACGATCCATTTGTGTCACATCATATAATAGTAGTATACAGAGATCATTTCATTCACACCAACCTCACAGAAATCATAATTTAGGTCGACACAAATGAACAATCATCAGGTTAGAAGAAGGTCGGGTGAATGTCTTAATCCTTTAGAAATGTAGATAAAAAATGAACGGGAGGAGTGAAAAATGCTGTAAAGATGTTGGGGATGGATCTGACCACGACGGGCACTGATCGAAGCCAACCAGATCGAAGCCTTGAGTGAGCGCTAGGAACTTAGTAGGAGAGCCTGACTTCTTTATTTGGTATATAGATGCTGGTAGGATGAAGGGGTGGGGGGGGGTGGGGGGGTGTGTGTGGCAGTTTTTATGGATAGATAACTTCTTTATTGCAATGGCTGGGACGTTTCGGTGTAGATCCCGGTACTCCTAGCATAGCACTGATATCAAGCAAATGATAAACAACATTATGAACAAGGAGAATATATGCATGAACGGCATTTGAGTTTATACAAATGAAGAGGTTGATGTACAATATGTTGACATTACTTCTGCTTGTTGTCATACAAATTATGATTGAAGCCAGATGGACAAAAGGCAGGAGACAGGTGAAACGTTCCGGCCCCTAAACATGAGAATCACAGAACATCAGACGTCTGTGACGAATAATACTCAGAATAAGCCATTTCCGGCCACACCCAAGCTCAGCAGAACCATACCATCCTTTGTAGCAACATCAACATCCTTGATGCCAACCGGTAAGACTACAAGATAAGACAGCTCTTAGAGGCAATCACCATCAAACGATTCAACCCGACAATCAACACAGATCAAGGTTATTACACCCCTACAGTTTACCATCATCTGATCAAGGAAATTCAGGGGAGCATGGCTTGAGCCTGGGCTGAAAGCATTCCAGAGTGATTTGAACCTCAAACTACTCTAAAGCGAATTTTAAGGACTGATTTGAACTTGCTTCACCAGCTTCCAATTGCTAGTCGCACAACCGAAACCAGGCCACGCTGCTGCAAAACCGCCGTCGGTGATGGCCACAGTATCACTTGCATCCACGTTCGAAACTCTAGCACGTGATTGCATAACGAAATATAAGGCTTTGCTTCGATGTGATGAGTCGACAAGAAATTTTCATTCCGTTACGCATATTTAAGCAGATCAAATGCCGAAATAAAACATTCATATCGCTCTTTAAGACAACAATCAAGCTGCTTAAAAGACGCTACAGAGCCAACAGTGAGAAGTTGGAATTGTGTGACAAAACACAAACTAATTACGTTCTGCCCGCAGAGATTTGATCTTATTAGGAACTGATGACACCCGTCTCCCGCGAGGAAGCGCTTTGAGGGTGGAATGTTTTCAAGCCTTGAACATTAGCAAAACAGGCCATTCAAGAGACGTAATTCAAACAGATGCCGTTTCCTGCAAAAAAGGTCACAACTTGCATCTAAATGCACAGTCAACTGGGTCAGAGTGTCGATTCCCCCATAGGAACGGTGCCAATCAACGAACCTCGTCCACAATCATTAAATTCGTTTAAATCCAAATATTGCATCTTAATGTAAATTGCGATTAAAGATCAGTGCGCATTGATATTCATAAGATACGCCCTCAGAGATATTATATCACTTTCCTTGCCTTGTCGGTTTTGTTTGATGTCACGTGACATCGCATTCTGCAGCCGCAGGTGCGTATCTTTGAAGCAGACGACTTCCGCAACAGACTTCTCTAGTTATTACAGGAATTCCTTATGATCAAACGCAGGTTTCGAAAAGATTGGCATTTCTTTGCAATTTCCATTAAATATCAAACACATGTAAATTTGTCTCAGAAGAAGAGTAACATTTTTCATTCTTTATAACCTTAATGAATTGTTTTACGTTTTGGCTGTTTTCTGCTGTGTAATTACCATGAAACGAAGCATAAGTGGCAGCCGTATGGACGGTGTGAAACTGGGGCTTCCAAAGGAGGGTGGCATGGTTTGGTACTTTAGCCGTTTCTCGATGCATCAATATTAACGATAAGTTACATGTGGAGCAAACCCCCATCAAGGTTCTGGTTGTAATCAACCTGGCATGTTTCCAACATTCTTTTTATATTCACTTCATCTGAGTTAGATTTTCAACGTTTAAAGACTTTTTTTCTCAAAGCTTGTTTCTTTAATTTTAGTTCCTGCTAAAATCCTTCATCCAACAGACTACGTGGAGTAAAGCTGTTCAATGTCGGGGAAGACGTTTCTCTTGGAATCGGTCGATTATTCCAGCGAAACTACGAAGACACTGCTTATGATATTAATTTCATGGATCAGCTCGGAGTGCTTTCAACAGGACAGGGCCTTGGGGCTGTTTACGCTTTGCCCAAAAGAGAAAAACTAATTCTCCACAATTTAAGCAAAATGGATGGTCCGTTGATGAGCAGTTCTGTTGTGTTTTCAGATGCCGAACGGGTCGAGCTTGCACCATTGTAAACCGAATAGTGAATCATACACCGAGGACCTTATCCTAAAACAAACAGCAATGTGCAAAAGAAAACGATCTACAGCAAAGGACAACAAATAACAATAACTTTCAACAGAAGACATCAAATCTACTTGTTAGCACCTGCCACACACAACAGTCTGCAAAGACAACGACGTGTGACAGAGACAGAGAACAACAACCTGCATTGAATCTACATGTTGGTACCTACCTTAACAGCTACAAAAGACAACGACCTACAAAGGGGTACACGTTATAGGAGAGAATAAAAAACTTATCATAGAGGAAAATGTCCTACAACAAACAGCAATCTACTTAAGACAACGTCCTACAAAGGGGTACACGGTATAACAGAGAATAATAACTTAGCATAGAGGAAAATGTTCTACCACAAACAGCAATCTACAAAAGACAACGACCTACAAAGGTACACCATATAACAGAGAATAATAACTTAGCATTGCGGAAAATTTCCTACCACAAACAGTAATCTACAAAATACAACGACCCACAACAGAAGCCAACATTGAACAGTGAATAACAACTGAGAATACAGGATATCTTCCTCCCACAAACAGCAGTCAAACGACAACGAAACCCCAGCCAATCGAGGACAAGTATCCGAGAACAATACCTTGCAACAGACGACATCAGATCTTGATGCACCGACCACAAACAGCAATCTACAAACGACAACGACCTAACTGTATACATCTTCCCACCACAAACACCACTCAAACGACAACGACCTAACTGTATAGAACTTCCCACCACAAACAGCAATCTACAAACGACAACGACCTAACTGTATACATCTTCCCACCACAAACAGCACTCAAACGACAACGACCTACAACAGATCAAGGGCAACAATTAACAGAACAACAACTTGCGACAGATGACACCAACGCACAACAGACATCAACCAAAATACAACAACGACATACAACATTGGCCGTGTTAAGTCTCACTCCTTCCCCTCGTCATATGAGCTGCCTTTACGGAGGTTAATCTACAGTCCTGGTGTCCTATAAATCTCCCTCTCTACGTAAATCAAGATTTAGCCCGTGCAGACTAGAGATTAAGCCTCCAAGTCAGTTGGAGGTCATGGCCCTGCTAGCTGGCCTTCACTTCTATGTGATCTTGACGAGTGGCCATATATTTACTGTGAGACAAATATTCTTCATGATCAATCTTTCTATTAGTGAGAAGCTAATACGTTAGAAAACCATGAAGTTTGGAATTACCCCATATCCTGTTTTCAATTAGGTTTGGATGAAAACAATTTTCAGCCCAAATTTATTTATGTAATAAGAATGACTTACGACGACGCTGAGTCACATTGATTCTCCTTGTCTGAGTTTCGTTACCCCCGGAAACAAGCAAGAGTGAGTATTGTTTTACGCCGCAGTTAGCAATATTCCAGCAATATCGCGGCGGGGGACACCAGAAATGGGCTTCACACATTGCACCCATGTGGGGAATCGAACCCGGGTCTTCGGCGTGACGAGCGAACACTTTGACCACTAGGCTACCCCACCGCCCCCATTGAACCATTCGTGCGGCTTCGGGATGAGAGATGCACAGATATTTATTGGAGCTTTAAAAAAACAATTTTATTGTTATTATTTATTTGTTTATCTACATGGTCTTTATGCAAGGGGCGGTGGGGTAGCCTAGTGGTTAAAGCGTTGGCTCGTCACGCCGAAGGCCCGGGTTCGATTCCCCACATGGGTACAATGTGTTCAGCCCATTTCTGGTGTCCCCCGCCGTGATATTGCTGGAATATTGCTAAAAGCGGCGTAAAACTAAACTCAGTCAGTCTTTATGCAAACAGATCGGACATAGCTGTTAAAAGCACAGCATGTGTACAAATATTCTGTAGTTTACTACACATCTTTGATCCTCGGTTCGAATACCACATTCGCCTTGATGATGTTTCTTGGTTTAGAACCAACATAATCGATCTCATGGGGTTTAAACCAGACTGGAAAATGTCTTTGTCTTTTCGTGAATCATACCCAGGCAAGAGAGTTATTTGACCATAACAGTGACGTTTCCACCCTTGCCGAACTTGGCTGGTATTTTGCAACTCGATCAAAGCGCCACCGTGCCAATCACGACTTATCTCCCTTGTATGTCCCTCCTTTTGACCAATCAGATTTCACATCACATCATTTGTATGTGTTTTGGTAGAATTATTTGAAATATTTGTCGACGCCAAGTACACAAGATCTCAAAATCCTGCTGACGCCTTGGGAATCTGTGAGTGAGTGATTTTTGGGTGGGTGGATGAGTGAGTGAGTGGACAGCTTTGTACGATTGCCCGAAACATCTTCCTGAGACAAGGGACATAACTCGCATGAGTTTTGGGTGCGGCATCATGCGGAAACGAACATACGTTTTATGCAAATGGCGATGGCTACCGGTAGGACAGACATACTTAGACTTTGCGCGAAGCTAGCCTAGTGTTTGAAGCGTTCTCCCGGCACGCCAAAGACCTGAACTCGACGTGACGTGGTAATGTGACTTTAACTTGCAAGCACTTTCTCGGGAAGCTCTGAAAGAAAATCGAGCGCGCACGTATCCGTTGACAGGGATAATAGAGATGTAACTCCACCAGCAATCACTTGGTAAGTGGACTTGGAGCTGTCTTAATTTAAATAGCTTTTAGTTAAAATAGTATTATATCCGATAGACAAGTCAATAGCCTCTTATAGTTGTGGTCTTTACTCTTTTGAGAAAATAACAAAAACCGATGGCTGTGAAACTCGAAACTCTTCTGACTCCAATAACTGACGTGCCAGAGTGAGTGAGGTGAGGTGAGGTGAGGTGAAATTGGGTTTTACGTCGTGCTTGAGAATATTTCGCTCACATGACGACGTGCATGCGTGTGTATGTGTATGTGCGGCTGCTTGTACTAGCCCAGACTGAAGCTGGTTTTATAGTGCTAGCCCACTGAGATACCATACCGCAGTGAAGCTTAAATACCCCACTCAGACACATTATACTGACTCCGAGACGACCAGTCCTTGTTGTACCCAATAATGCCGAGCGCCAGGTAGGGACCAACAAGTACCATATTTTAACGTCTTTTGGTATGACGCGGTCGGGGATCGAACCCACGACCTTCCGCTCTCCGCCAGAGTGAGTGAGTTAAGTCACATCGGCTGTATTTCTGCCATGTCTGTTGGTGTGTTTGTTGTTTAACGCCGCACTCAGCAATATTCCAGCTATTTGGCGGTCGTCTGTAAACAATCCAGTGGTCAACAGCATGAACATCGATCTACGCAATTGGGATACGATGACGTGTGTCATCAAAGTCAGCGAGCCTGACCACCCGATCCCCTTAGTCGCCTCTTACGGCAAGCATGGGTTGCTGAAAATTAATTCTAACCCGGGTTATTTCTGCCATGTCCTGACATTGACGTGTCAGAATTCGAAATGTATATGTTCCGCATATTTAATGGATATATTTATCACATTAATGCATCCTTTCTTTCAAATATGTATCCATATCTTATATGATGTCCTTGTGATTACTGTTTCAAGGAAACAAGGAAAATATAATACCCTGAACACCGAGGATGAGATGACCTGAAGGATAGGGTAGGACACCCCAAATCTTTTCGAGAACACCGTCAGTACATATAATTTGATTTTTTTTATCAATAAACACAAACAATTGACTTACCTTCCCCTGTGTTTGTGACAGTGCTGCCGGTAGAATGGGATATCCTAACCTCTTCGAGAACACCTGGTATCATCACTATCTGATTTTTATCAAAAAACGTAAACAATTGACTTACCTTTCCGTGTGTTTGGGACAGTGCTGACGATTTCATTTTTATCAATAAACGTAAAAGATTGACTTACCTGAGCGTGTGTTTGTGACAGTGTAGCCGGTAGGACACCTCAGTCTTTTCTGGAACACCTGGTATCATCACTATTTGCTGGTGTCTCAGAAACACATGTTTATTTTTATGATACAGTCCGGCTCCTACAGCAGACATTATTTACGTAAATAGTTTGTCGCTCTTAATTAGCGGGCGCAGTGGGGTAGCCTAGTGGTTAAGGCGTTCGCTCGTCACGCTGAAGACCCGGGTTCAATTTCTCTCATGGGTACAATGTGTGAAGCCCATTTCTGGTGTCCACAGCCGTGATATTGCTGGAATAAAAGCGGCGTAAAACCCAACTCACTCACTCACTGATTTACCGAGCCTCTTTGACATGGCAAAGTGTATCAACGAGCCTGTTATGGGGCATTTAGTCCGCGGATCAAGCTATAACTAATACTACAGATTAACCCGTCTGCTGAGGTTATCGAGCAGCACACTCTGGCAGAGTTAGATGTCTCGTTTATTGTCCTAATCACCACGGGGAGGTGAGTGAGTGAGTGAGTGATTGATTGAGTGAGTGAGTTTAGTTTTACGCCGCACTCAGCAAGATTCCAGCTATATAGTGGCGGTCTGTAAATAATCGAGTCTGGACCAGACAATCCAGTGATCAACAGCATGAGCATCAATCTGCGTAATTGGGAACCGATGACATGAGTCAACCAAGTCAGCGAGCCTGACCACCCGATCCCGTTAGTCGCCTCTTACGACAATCATAGTCGCCTTTTGTGGCAAGCACGTGGGTTGCTGAAGACCTATTCTATCCCGGATCTTCACGGGCCCACGGGGAGTTGATCCTGCACTGATGGAATGCCCGACCTCACCCAGGTGAAAGATCCAGGTTTGACACCATTGCCCAAACTCACTTTTCATCTAACATAAGTCCCTGACCCCCAACTGCAAACATAACAATTAGACATCGATTAGCTGGGCAAGGCAGCCCATCTTCCTGACCCGTCCAAATGTTGGAATAGAGGTTAGTGTAGAAACTCGATAAAGATACCGCCCATAACGATTGTGTCTTCCTTAAGGTTTGGTTGGTTGGTTGGTTGGTTGGTTGGTTGGTTGTTTTAACGCTGCACTGAACAATATTCCAGCTATGTGGTGGCGGTCTGTAAATAATCCAGTCGGGACCAGACAATCCAGTGATCACGAACATCGATCTACGCAACTGGGATACGATGACATGTGTCAACCAAGTCAGCGAGGCTGACCACCCGATCCCGTAAGTCGCCTCTTACGACAAGCATGGGTTGCTCAAGACCAAGAACGTGAGATACCAGTATATCAATTTTATTCATGTTTGGTCATAGTGTCACAACGATCTGGAAGGTACGTGGCATATAGATACCAGTGTATTTAATGTATTTGTGTTGGTCGATGTTGGCACAATAGGCAGCAAGAATTTGACATACAGATACCAGTGTATTTAATGTATTTGTGTTGGTCGATCTTGGCACAATAGGCAGCAAGAATGTGACATACAGATACCAGTGTATCTATTGTATTTGTGTTGGTAGATGTTGGCACAAAAGGCAGAAAGAATGTGACATACAGATACCAGTGTATCTATTGTATTTGTGTTGGTAGATGTTGGAAGAATAGGCAGCAAGAAAATGACATACAAATACCAGTGTATTTAATGTATTTGTGTTGGCAGATGTTGGCACAATAGGCAGCAAGAATGTGACATACAAATACCAGTGTATCTATTGTATTTGTGTTGGTCGATGTTGGCACAATAGGCAGCAAGAAAATGACATACAGATACCAGTGTATCTATTGTATTTGTGTTGGTCGATGTTGGCACAATAGGCAGCAAGAAAATGACATACAGATACCAGTGTATCTATTGTATTTGTGTTGGTAGATGTTGGCACAATAGGCAGCAAGAAAATGACATACAGATACCAGTGTATCTATTGTATTTGTGTTGGTAGATGTTGGCACAATAGATAGCAAGAATATGACATATAAATACCAGTGTATCTATTGTATTTGTGTTGGTCGATGTTGGCACAATAGGCAGCAAGCATGTTTCATACACAATTCAGTATATCTATTTTACTTGTGTTTCGTCCCATTGTCACAATGTGCTGAAAGCATGTGACATAGAATTACCAGTGGATCTTTTTCATTCGTGTTTTGTAAAATTGGCACAATAGGCGGGAAACGTGCTGACAATTGTAACTAGCTTACAGTTTCCTGAACACACGGCCATTACACGTGGTCTCAAGCACAGAGGCCGCGTGGCTCTAATCTCAAATTAACTTATACACAATCTTTATACTTAATAGTATATAGGCTGTATTTGGAGGACAGGCTGATAATTTGCGACTTATAGTCAGCCCGGAACATGTTCCTTTTCCTGAGCTAATACAGCCCTGAAACAATAGTAGTCCGCCCATAATCATTGTAAGCACGCATATGTTCATGGTACTTGGTAGTTAAAGGGCGACTTAAGACCCCATCAGCGTGTAGATCAGTGTCTCATCTCGACGCCCTGTGTGGATTTTGTCGGCCACGGTAGTGTGGTGGACTCGGTGATAGATTCATCCATTAAAAGGGCCGTTACGTTAAGCTGACTGACTGAGTTTTCGTTTTACTCCGCTTTTAGCAATATTCCAGCAACAACTGCGGGGGACACCAGAAATGGGCTTCACACATTGTACCCATGTGGGGATTCGAACCCGGGTCTTCGGCGTGACGAGCCAACGCTTTAACCACTAGGCTACCCCACCGCCCCCGTTATGTTAAGGATATATAATAATAGTAGGAATGATAATAATTGGCCACTTATA